TATTTTTCTGAACCAATTAAAAAAGTGAGCACATTATCACTTCGCTTCAGGTCTGTTGATGAACTCAGCTGGCTATTATCTTAATAAAGATGAACTGAGGCAGGTTAACATTTTTAAGCATTAAGAATCGCGCAGATCGTCCTCAGATATACTGATCTTTCTCTAACACGTGTACTTAAGTCAAGTTCTGAACGACCTCAACCGAAGCCTTACGTTTAGATCTTCTGAGTGGCAAGTAATAATAATAATAATAATAATAATAATAATAATAATAATAATAATTAATTATTATTATTATTACTGTAATAAAAAAGAAGCGCTAAACCTAGACAAATAATAATAATATTGAGTATAGCCAACTGCCATAAACAAATTACACCATTAGGAAGGTAATGTCGTGTAATTCGTTGGAAACAGTACGCTTTTAAATCAATTACAGTTCTGGCACCTGACAAGGTCAAGTACAGCTTGTTACGTCTGTATCCAGAGCGCTTGCCACTGCCTCCCCTCAAGGAAGGTTCCTTGATGTTGGTGAGGGGCTCTTGATTTAGGGAATTGGATCTGTGCTCCAGTTCCCCAAATTAAGCCTGAATGCCTTCCACATCCCCCCCCCCAGGCGCTGTATAATCCTCCGGGTTTAGCGCTTCCCTTGATTATAATAATAATAATAATTGCCACTTCCTCATTCTCTGCTAAGTGGTTGTTGCAGTAACTCTGTTCGTGATAAATACGACACGTTTCGCTTACACAAGAGGTTTCTTCAGTCGAATACAGACGAAAATAACACTGGATTCCGTAAAGATAGTTTTGACGTGATGGAATTAAATGGTATAAAATACCGACACACTGGAAATATAAACACATATGCAGTATAATGTGATCCTTTATTGACATAGTCCTCCCCACCAACTCCATTGCCAAACACGTTTCCAACATCTTTCCCAGTACCTCATTCCAGGTATCTACCTCCACAACCACGACCATCGAGGACATTACTAGTAGTAGACAGGCCAAGCTTCCATCCTCTGCAGGGTGAAATTAAGACACAAGTGCAACATCTGGGTATCTTTATTGTAGACGTTTCGCCATCCAGTGGCTTTATCAATACAAATTCCAGGACATAACTTGAAGACAGCAGAACTATGTACAGAAGATGAGGTAATCAGTCCCTGCTACCCGTCCCATTTCCACCTGACGTTAGTATATAAGCGTCAGGCGCCTTGCTTCTGCTTCAGAATCTCCACGACTACGGTGCTCTTCGCACCTACTCCAAGGTTGAGGGACTGATTACCTCATCTTCTGTACATAGTTCTACTGTCTTCAAGTTATGTCCTGGAATTTGTATTGATAAAGCCACTGGATGGCGAAAGTTACAATAAAGATAGGACCGGCTAAACCCGTAGGATTAAACAGCGCCTGCACTGGATGGCGAAACGTCTACAATAAAGATACCCAGATATTGCACATGTCTTAATTTCATCTTGTCAGTATTGTATACCATTCTTGTACAACATCCTCTGCAGGGGTATACATAATCCCTTGTAATGACCGCAGCAAATTACACGTGGGCGAAACATCAAGAGACCTCCAAACACGTATTTCAGAACACCAATACGCAAGCAGGACTGACGATCCAAGGAATGCCTGTGTACAACATCGCAATTCACAAAACCATTTAATCAACTACAGAAACTCAAGACTTATCGCCAGAGAAGACAACACTCAATACCAAAGAATCCTGGAATCATCGCTTATCTCTATATCCAACAACTTCAACCAGAACAATGGCTTCTATAACATAGCTATCCCACATAAGAACATAGGAACACTGCAGAAGGTATACTCACGTAACCCCACTCGGTAGATCATTACATGCAGCATTCTCCACCTGACCCAGCATTCTGAACCTGACAATAAATACTCACGTACCTTCCACCCAGGTAGATCTGTTTGTCACTTGAAAAAGCCCAGTGTGTGGGCGAAACGCTGTCAATAAAGGATCACATTATACTGCGTATGTGTTTATATTTCCATAGTTTTGACGTAATCAGTAGGTGGTCAGTCCGAGGCCTGAGGTCTCGGACTGACCACCTCAGGCCTCGGACTGTTCGTTATGTCCCTGTCTCGCGCCCTTCCAAGTGGTTGTTGCAATTAGCCTGTTCGTTATGTGACTGTAACATTCCCAACTGGTTATTGCTGTTAGTTGATTCAAGCAAAAACTCTGACATGGGATACAACGGTAAAAATAGCACAAGAAAAAATGGCACATGAGAAACCATACCCCGGCCGGGATTGAAACCGCGGTCAGAGAGTCTCAAAACTCCAGCCCGTCGCGTTAGCCACTAGACCAGCTAGCCACAATAAGATTCGTCCAACTAGGTATATTTCTACACCATAGGAAGGTTAGCACAGGCACCACTGTGACCACAAATGCAAGTTTTTACAGACGAATCTCCAGCTAGCATCTGTAAAAACTTGCATTTGTGGTCACAGTGGTGCCTGTGCTAACCTTCCTATGGTGTAGAAATATACCTAGTTGGACGAATCTTATTGTGGCTAGCTGGTCTAGTGGCTAACGCGACGGGCTGGAGTTTTGAGATTCTCTGACCGCGGGTTCAATCCCGGCCAGGGTATGGTTTGTTTGCAATCGTGTCATTACGATTTCGTGAGGCACATGAGAAGTAAGAAAAAATGGCACACGTAGTAGTGGTGGTGGTGGTGGTGGTGGTAGTAGTAGTAGTAGTAGTAGTAGGAGTTGTTACTGTTGTGGTGGTGGTGGTAGTAGCAATAGTTGTAGTGGTGATGGCGGTGGCAACAGCACCAGCAGTATATTATAGTAGTAGTGTGAATATTAAAATGGCGTAAAATACCGACAGGTTGTTAGACAAGACATATGCAACAGTTAGGTATATTTATTTCAAAACGTTTCGCCTACACAGTATGCTTCGTCAGTCGAGTACAGAAAAGGTGGTAGAAGAGTCGTGAAGACGATGTAATCAGTCCATCACCCTTAAAGTTTTCAGGTGGTCAGTCCCTCAGTCTGGAGAAGAGTCAGTGGTCAGTGGTCAATGGTCAGTCGTCACGTGAGGTCACAGACCCTGAGCTGCTTTGGGGATTAGCGTGGACGGTTACAAAGCATGGCTTGCTTCTGCAGTGTTTTAAAAATTGAGGTTGGAGAGTTGAAGGAGGAGGTCTTGCTTCTCCAGGAGGAGATTAGGAGGCTGAAGGTCCACCTCTATGGGTCTGGGAGAGAGTGTGAGGTGGCTGGAGTTGTGGGGAATGAGGCTTCTAGCAGTGAGGTGCAGTCTGTCTCTCGCTGTGAGGAGGCTGTAGGTGTGGAGGTAGCAACGGCTACCAGCAGTGAGGTGCAGTCCAGCACCTGCTACAAGTGGCGAGTGGTAACCAGTAATGGGAGGAGAATCAGAATAAGGAAAGTCAAGAGTGAAGATCTGAAGGTAGGAAATCGCTTCTCTGTTCTTCAGGATGAATGTACTTCAGTGGCCAGTGAAGGTAAGGGTACTGCTGCCCCTGCTAACAGAGGTAAGCGCATTCTTGTGGTTGGTGACTCTCAGGTAAGATATATTGACCGTGCTTTTTGTAATAGGAATAAGATGAGAGGTAATCAGTCCCTCAACCTTGAGTCGATGTGTTCAGTCCATCAATCTTGAGTAGAATACGGCATATGAGCGGAGAAGCAGCTTATAAACCATATGGCAGGAGAGGTGCAGCAGTCATAGGTAGTGTCACATTTGTTCAATGTGGAAGTAGGTCGTGCCCAAGAATTAGGCAAGCGAAGAATTCCTAAGTATTAAGATCCCAAGAAGTTGCAGTGTCTGACAGGTTTGTAGATGAATGGTTCAGAGAACCATTTCCTCATTCTCCTCCTGTTCTTCAAGTTTCTCCTACGTATGGACTGATGAAGCCACTGTGTGGCGAAACGTTTCCTCAATAAAGATACCCAAGAGTTGCACATGTGTCTAATTTATCAAGGCTGTTGTTGGTAATCCTCCACAAAGAACGGCTTCGTAACTACTGTATGACTCAACAAGAGAACTGTACGATGACTGGCAGAGTTCTTTCATGGAGACGCTTGCAATATTCGTCTTAACCAATCAGTACTATGATTAAAATATACACTTTAAAAAATGTGAATTTTCCCTGTAATTTAATTTCCTAGGAAAACTAGTTACTTTTTTCCACAACTTTTTTCTTGTTTCATTTACCTGTCGCAACAACGTGGATTTAGAACAGGATGCTCTTGAACATGACACCCACTGCACCAGCCTACAACATAACACGTTCTGGTAACCTATGGAGGAAGACAAGAGCGGGAGACCAGCGCCCCTGATGCTTGGGTTTTACTAGTAGGCTAGAGAAATACATTAATATCCTAGTACTGCACATGTGTCATACATACATTATAGTAAGAGTGATACAGGTACTGGTTAGCATGGGCCTTGCATTGCACTGTCCCCTTTTTTTTGCCGATCGAGTTTTGTCTCCCACCCAGGATAAATAATCCAAATTTATCACACTGTATGAGAAATTAGACACGTGTGCAACAATTGGATATCTTTATTGTGGCTTCATCAGTCCATTGCAAAGAAGAATGATGAAAATCAGGAGTTTGATGAGGTAATCAGTCCCTCAGCCTGGAGTCCATGTAACCAATCCATCAATCTTGATAAGAATTCAGCATTTATGTTTTATTCTTATCAATACTGATGGAATTGATAAGAATACAGCATATATACTGTATTCTTATCAATACTGATGGACTGATGACATCGACTCAAGGCTAAGGACTGACTACCACAAACTCCTGATCTTCACCATTCTTCTTTATATTGGCCTGATGAAGCCACTGTGTGGCGAAAGTGATACACACGTATCTAATTTGGTTCTCTGAACCATTTACCTTCATCACCACTGTATGTCTATAACAGTCAGTCATTTAAATATGTAAACACAAGAAACTTTAAACAGTAATCTCTATAAATATATCACATCTAGATAAACATCTGCAAGTTTATTCTGTATGAAGCTTACTTTGACCTGGCAAGAGACACGCCGCACCGCCACTGTCCCACAGAAGTGTGGGTGAGTAAGGTCGAGGCGATTAGTGTAGCCATCACCAGACTTGAAGACGGACGCTTAGGTAAGTCCTTCGGCTTCTACCCGTGACCAGCTAAGTGACTCTCCTGGTATTTTTTGTGCCCTAGATGAAATAAGGCAAAGGTACCCGTCCCTTCAGTCAAGAGCACATACACCCCCCTCCCTCGGGAACATAAACCTATGCCGCAATAAGACGAAAGCTTTCAAACAGTGCACCTCCTTTGTTTACTGTTCTGAAAATCAAGTAAGTAAAAGGGTTTTTACGAAAAAAAAAAATAAAAAATAAATCTTGTCTAAATAGGTGTTTTCCCTGGGGAACAGTGAAGTTATTGAAAATCTACAAATAAAACCGAGCGTGTTTTGTGTCCTTCGCCCCCAAATGATTGATCACCCCAGTAGACCGTTATGCCAAAACGGCCTTTCAATCAATTATGGCCTATTAGCCTGCTAGGTGGTATGGACATTTGTTAACCAAATTTTTTCAAGTTTCAAGTCTCAAATATGACCGTACTGTATGAAAAATGAGGAAATTGCGAAACTGGAATTCGTTTGGGAAACCGGTCTTTGTAGTTCGTAAAAGGGACAACGTCGGGAGGGTGGGAAGTGGAGAGAGATGTAGGGTGTCGAAACGTAAAACAGTGAAGCCGTTTTTTGAGGGTATTATAATGTTAGAAAAGATCTCGGACCAATTAAAAAAACCCGGTTTTGAACGTGGAAATTACGCTGCCTTGTTTTTTTTTTTGTACCCAAAAGGGTATAAGTTGTTTTTTAAATCCATGTTCATGGAAATTTTCCTGACACTAGTTTAATCATATCCTCTTTTTTCTGTATATTGCCAGTCAATGGTACCCATTCTACCAGGGCCAAAAACGAGTAGCAAAATTTAATTAAAGAACCCTCACCAACGAATGTGTAGAATTGTTTTGTATAACTTTTGGTTTTTTATTACTTTAGTTCCTGAAGAAGAAAGAAATCTTTAGTTTAAATTTTATTGTGACAACTTATGTATTTTTACCTTTGCCTTAGAGATTTTTCAAAATTAAAACTTCTGCCTTTTTTTTTGCATTTTAAGTTCTTTTTTAGTTTGAAGTCCCATATTATATAGTTTAGAGGTGTCTATTATTTAACTTAGAAGTCCCTCGGTTATTTTCTTTTCCATGATAAAGCCTTACATTTCCCCACACCCATTTTTATTACATTAAAACGGTATCCCCATTTTCTGATCACAAATTTCATACAAGTGTAATTAACGATACTAAAGTTACCCTTAACTTTATTTTCTTTGGTTAGATTTATTTAGATTAGCTGGCATTTTGGGTCTTATTTTACGGGATGAACATAATTGCGTCAAAAATGTACAGAGAAGGATGACGAAATTTTTTTTATGTATCAAAACCTTTCCCCTGAAAAAAATGTTAAAGGCACTGAATTTTGCACTTGTGGAAAAGCGTATGCTGAAATTTTGGGGAAAAAAAAAGGGGAATAAATGCGGAGTTTTACATCAGTTGAAATTTCCCAATGCAAGTCCAGCAGCAATGGATTCAAGATGAAGAAATTTGTTTAGAAAGGTATTTCAAAGTATGGCTTGAAAAGAGGTAGGTGTAGAGAGGGGAACCTCTCCAGGTAGCTCCTGACGCAAAAAACTTTGGGTAGCTTTAATATGGGTTTGGAGGGGTACATGAGAAACTGGGGGGTGGGTGGACTGGACTGCAGGGGCCCCAGTAGGCCTGCTTGTGTTCCTTCGTTTGTTTTAATTATCTTGGAGTTCCTGGTGCCCTCAGATTCATTTGTCGTTCAAGTTGTGTTATCGGTACTTGTTTTCCCCTTATCTGTAGTGTATAGTAGATAAAAACAAAGGGCCCAAAATTGATCTCTGTTGTGCCATTTTTGAGGGTTTTTAAAATTGATTCCTTCCCCTTTTAATTTTTTTAAAGCGCTAGGTGCCTCGTTGTGCCCCCGGGGTTTTTTTCGTGTTTTAGGTTTTCGTCTTACGTGCTAGAACTTTAATTTGTGTATAATCCTTACGTACATCCCTCTAGCCCCTGGAAAAAATTTGGGGGAAAAATTATATACTGAGAAAAAAGGGAGAATTAGTTTCATAGCAGGTTTACTGCCAGGGGGGGTTTTTTCATAGGCCTGCCCCGTGTGGAAAAAAAATAATAATTGAACTTTTCATGTAGGGGAAAAAGAAAGTCTCCTGATAACATTGGTATACATGTTTAGTGTATATACGGGCCCCCTAGTATATTGATGAAAAAGGTAAAGTGTCATTTAAAAACAGGTAAATTTTGTAAATGAAGTGATAAGCCTATAGAGGCAGTGCCAGAAGTCGCCAGAATTTTCCACAGGTCAGCTTTTTTTTAATAATTTCCTGGCTTGCCAGTGTACTCGCTAAAACTGTGATACCGTGATTCAGAATACAGTGTTGTGTAGCAACAAACCGTATTATAATGGTACTTGTGGATGGAGTGACTTTTTATTAGTTTCCTTTTCTTGAATACGAGACGTTACTGTAAATTTTTTTTAACCCTGTATTTTCCACCCAGTCGAAATATACACAACGAGAAGCAATTTTACTCAAAAAAAGGTCCTTCCTCCAAAATTTGCCCAGAAAACTTAGTGATAATATGCATTTATTGTGGTGGAGACGGAAAAAAAAGGGAAAAAAAAAAAAAAAGGAAAACCCAGATACAGCGATTGAAAAAAGGAGGTGCCGTTCGTCAGTAGGAGTGCAGATTCCCCGGTTCCTTAACAGCAAGTTATACTTTTGTATCAGTAAAACCCTTTATGGGGTAGAAAATTTTCCCCGTAGACCTTTAGTGTTGTCAAATCACCGACCGTATTTTTTTAAATAAGTGACCCCGACAGAGAGATCGACTGGCCCCGAACCCTTGCCTGGTCGAACCCTTGATGGTCCAAACCCCGGGATGGTTTTCAAACGTTTGTTGGACAATAAAGCAGCTGTAACGGATGGGGTTGTAGGCGCCTAAAAAACAAAAATTAAAAATCAGGAAGTGACGGTAAGCTGTCCAATATACAAAAAGAGTTAGAAAAAAGAAATAAAAAAGTAGGCTTCATTTAGGTTTTTAATAGAATTTTCAGAGGTTTTCTAGTGAATTGCAGTAAAACAACCATTAAATCTTATGAAGCCCGTGTGTCTGTGGTCAGTCAAAACAAAGGGCTTTCCCCTGGAAAATTGTCTTTTTTTTTTGGAAATTGGGGGTCACGCCCTTGTGCGATACCCGAAATAGCTCAAAACGTATTAAAACAGAGAAAATGTTTTTTTGGGGATGCTAAAGAGGAAAAACTTGGGTAAAAAACACAAGGGTATTTTAAAAAAGGACAACCCCAAAGCTGCTTTCATAGAAAACCTGGAAGTTTCTACAACAGATGGGAACTAAAATGTTGGGCTGAATGGTACTGCCCTTGATCTGGCCATGTAGTCATAAACTGTAAGGCTGGAGGTGATGTCCTGGTAGTCAGTAAATGGGGGTGATAGTGCTGTCCTGGGAGACAGTAATGGTGAAAACTGGAGGTGCTGTCTGGGAGACAGTAATGGTGAAGCTGGAGGTGCTGTCGGGAGACAGTAATGGTGAAGGGAGGGTTTTCCCGGGAGACGTAATTTTGAAGTGGGGTGTGTCCTGGGAGACAGAAATGGTGAAGCTGGAGATACTGTCCTGGGGGACAGAAATGGTGAAGTGGAGGTTTCTGTCCTGGGGGACAGAAATGGTGAAACTGGAGATATGCCTGGGAGACGTAATGGTGAAAATGGAGGTTTTCGTCCCGGGAGACGAAATGGGGAAGTGGAGATTTTCTGTCCTGGGGCAGAAAGGGGGAAGTGGAGATATTTTCCGGGAGCGGGGAAATTATACGCAGGAAGGAATAATTAAATGCTATAGGGGAAGGGAGCCATATAGGGAAACAGTGTAGTCAAAGATAAGATAAAAACCCAAAATTGCAAACTAGAAAAACCCCAGGAAATAGCAAACAAGAGGACCCAATGCAATTTGTGAAAATAAATTTCCAAAAAACAACTGGTGGGGCTCCATGTTGGTGCTAGGGGGATAGAGTAAGACAGGGAAACATGCACCAACAGGGAATACAGTCACAGAAACCCCAAGGGGAAGCGGAAACCAAGCCTGTGCACATATATGACTTGGTATCTGTGGCAGGGGAAAATTTGGGAAAAAAAGATGGGACATGCAACTAGACCACCTAGAAAATGCCTGCCCATTGAAAAAAGGAAAAAAGCAAACTCCCTTCTGTAAGCTTTTTTCCCCGAAAAGTGTATCTTTTAGTACAGGAAAGACTGTGCTTAAATTAAAAATTCCAGGAACATTAAAAGGGGGGGCAAAAAATACAAAAAAATCCCCGGCCAGGGGAAAACCGGGTAGCCCCGCCACTCAAGAGGGGGGTTTTTTAGTGCCGGAAGGAAAAAAAAGGCAGGAAATGGGAGAAAACGTACACCAAAAACCGTCTTCCTGGAGTGGAACCCCGTCGATGGCCCCCCCCTAAACAACAGATCAGTAAATGCCGGAAAAAAAAAACCCCCCCCGTAAACAATACCCCCAGTGATCATTTTCTTTGCAAATAAAAGGGCTAAAGCCAGCTACAAAAACAAAATCCTTTATCCGTGGACTTTGCAGGGAAAAGGGATGTTCGCGGGGTTTTTACGAGGGCCCACATAAAAGGATCACTTGGAAACGAAATATGGATCCCCGGTTTTAACCCATCAGATGTGACAGGGAACAGGGGAAAGGGGGGGGTTGGCCTGTAAATTGCAGAGTCACTTGTTTTCACAGAACTGCTTAATCCTCAAATGACGTGTGGAAGTTTTAGCGTAAAGGTCGAGAACCAAAAATGTCATTGTGGTGTCTACAAGCCTCGGATGCAAAAATCCCAGCAATTCCGGAACAGCTGTTAAAATTTACCCCCTGTCTGGGAAAAACTTCCAGCTCCCGCCAACTCTTGCTCCTGGGGGATTTCAATTAAGGGACCTAAAATGGAGGAATATGCAATAATATTGTTGCGAAATAAAACCCG